TCCACGGCTAAACGTGTTGATCACGTCCTTTGTAGACGTAATCTATTTAAATTACCATTAAATGTCTATTTTCTAAAGGATTATTTGTCACAAAATAAAATATTACTCTTTTAAAGTCATCCTATTAAAATTGAACCAACGTTCCGAATTTAGGGAAATTTGACATATATATTTTTCATTTTTAAATTATGGATTTCTAGGCTCCAATTTGGGGCAATAACTTTTTTCTCTTTTCTATAAATTTTGTTTTTTAAGACTGCCCATAAAATCAAAACAGAAGGCTGTGGTCTTTCATTTCCAAGAAAAACGCTTTGGGCCTTTATTGGGTCTGCCCAACCCAAAAACTAGATTCTAAATGTACCCAAGAATCTAATTAGTACACCCAGCACCGTATCATACAAGAATTCTATAACGAGAGCCTTATATATGACTTTTAAGTGAGGTTCTAACCCTATCTCTTAATTGTTGAATCAAATTAGTTAGCCTAATCCAACGATTGAGAGATAAAACCTCACCTAAGGTCATATATAATGCCCTCCTCGTATGACTCATTGCTAAATCATTCTAATTTGAAATTGCGCCCACAAACATTTACATGTGACACTCTTTTGACCCTTCTTTGACCTTCCAACTGATGTCGGTTTAGCAAATGCCAATAATACATCAGTATTCTTATGTATTGTGAAAAAAAAAAAACAAACTTATTTGATTTGTGTTTAATGCCAAAAAAAAAAATATATATCATGATTGATCTCATTTGAAGAAGCCAATAAATTTGAGTGATGCTATTTCCACTCGTCCTATTTTTCCAACCACTTTATCTTCCCACTCACTATGTAAATTTTAAAAAACGCAATCCTATCTTTCTACCCTATGTTGCACGGACACGGACACGGGGACATGGAAATGCGATATGGCAACACGGAAAATCTCAAAAAACTAGGTCATGGACACAGTTAGGACACGGTAATTAAAATAATAATAAATTTGAATAAAATTATAATAGCATATACTTATTTATACTCATTTGAGTTCACTTAGAGCGATTCCACCGATGTGCCTAAGGGGAGGGCTGAGGGGGGTTTGGGCCAAAATCTTGTTTCGAGCGGCAAGGGCTAGCCTTGGAAGGAGATGGGGCTCACGAACCTAGGCTAGCCCTCAAGCAAGATCTGCCTTAGTTCCAACCCCAATTTGCTAATGTCATCAATGACGTCAGCAACAAAAAAAATTGAAAACAATCTACAAAAAATTTCAGATTTTTTAAAAAATAAATACTTAGTTGTAGTTTTCACTTCCCACACTAAAACTCTATACAAATTTCTCTCCTCATATCTCATGTGAATAGTTGTTTCAATGGCAATTGGTGGAAACACCACAACCTTTTGCAAGGGGCAGCAACTGTTCACGTGAATAATGGCTGCCCCCCAGCCCCCCCCCGGGGGCGCCATGGCAAAGGGCAAATGGGTGGAGTTGCTCTTAGGATTACTCATCTTTCCCTAAATAAAATAAAGAATGATACACATATTCATGATTCATCATAAACCAAATTTCACACATTTTTCGTATATGATCTATCATCTTCAAAATAAGAAAAACATTTTCCCACTTCATAAAATAAGAATCGAGTTTGCATAAATAAAAAAAGAAAAAAGAAAAAAGGAAAAAGAAACAAAGTGAATGGATTACCCACTCAAAAAGATGCATCTCTTATGACCAAATTGCTATCAATATCCTTAGTCAACTAAAAATATCAGCTCTGCCATGAAGGAACAAAGAAAAAAAAAACATATTTAAAAAAAATATTATTTACATTTATAGCCTACTTTTTAAAAATATTTTAAATATGTCCACATATTTTCAATAATTATGTTTTGACCCCAGTTTTTGTTTTATAATTTTCAAAATGATCCCTGCCTTTCTTGACTTCAATTAACCGTGTCTTGACTTCAGTTGACTGTGTCTAAAAGTGTCTTGATCGTGTCTAAAACGCATCTTGACTGTTGACCCGTGTTCAAGCCATGTCCGAGGAGTGTTCGCGTGTCTGACACCCTGACACTTCGGCCTGATGGAGTGTCCGTGCTACATAGTTTCCACCCACTATTATTCCTAAAATACTCTTTAATTATTAATTCAAACAAATTCTTAATAAAAATAAAATTAAAGTTGAGTTCGTGACATTAGTCCCTCCTGCACCATGGCAACAAAGTTGGTTGTGCTAAATAAGCAATCCCTCCTGCACCATGTCTTTCTATCATGCTTATTATTCATTTAGTATTGTATGGGATAAAGCCTAACCATGGGCAAAGGATTAACGGCCCCATTGTTGGGACTGCTGGCAATCACCCTGGGTAAGCAATCCCATAAAAATGTTGGGAATTAATAAGCCTACTTTTAATTAATTATAGATCTTGTTCTTCCTTTCAACCGTGTAACAGAGATGGAGATCAATGGAGATGGGCATGAGACGTGAGGCTACAGATATGAGAAAAGCTAGGGTTAATTTTATTTTTATTTTTAGTGAAAATTGCTTTGGTAAATAAATAAAATAAAATAAGTGGATTACGTAAGTGGAGATTTTTTCCCTAAGTCATTATAAGTTATTTTACAAAGAGTCAAATTTGTCTTTAGAATTTTGAAAATAAGGTAGGTAGAAAAATATAATATGGGGTGGAAATAACAGCACTCATAAATTTAAAGGGCTAATATAACACAAACTCCGATGTGTTCGAAGCCCAATACTTGGTGTTTTTGACAAAAACCAGCCCGTGAGATCACCAAGCGTGTCATGACGCAGACACCTCCAAAGAAGCAAAACCTTGAGCAACAGTAAATTACTGGACCAAAGTCCTTCTCCACACCCTTTTCCTTCAAAAGACTGAAAGTGGCCACCATTTTGAAAATGAACACACACCAAACTTGGAACCCAAACAAGTGCACAAGATGCTCTTTGACTGTCTGATTTGCCCAATTGGTGCTGCCACAAAACTGCAGAACCATCCAATCTGAAAATTATGAAAATCATGCACAGAGAGAGAGAGAGAGAGAGAGAGAGAGAGAGAGAGATCAAATAGGGGACCATCTGTCATTCAATTAATATAATTTTTTATTCATTTATAATATGCAATAAGTTATTTTTCTTCTCCTCATCAATGTCTGCTCGCGATTCCCAATGGAGGAGGGAAGGTAAAGGCTAAAGAAAGTGGGAGAAGCAAAGAAGAATTATTGGGAAAAATATGTCTGTTTGCTTGCTGGGTTTGGTGGTATTATAATATAGCTAGCTAGCTACAAGTATTATAAATGTGGCTGTGGGGAAGAAGATAAGGAACCAGTGATATAATGCAAAGTTAAAAATCCCACCCAACAGCAAGATCTCTCTCCTTTAGATTCTTTTTATCCAATCCGAACCTCTTCTTACACACAACATGTCTCTTTATTCATGTCTCTTGCCCAAAAAATATAAATAACTATTATTATATTCCTATTAATGGCGGTACCAGTTTTCATCATCTCCTACTACCAATTAGTCGTATGTGTTCACGCATCACTGATCGTAACAATATCTTTACTAATCAGTTATGTGTTCACACGCGACTGATTGTAACAAAACCTTTATTCATTGCTTATATGCTCGTTCATGCACAATTGACTGACCGTAACAAAATCTTTACAAAGCGTTAACATTCCACTTGATGATCATCACATGGTAAGTTCGTTAGCAATTCCAGCACATGAGTCAGGTGGTTGGCATCAGAAAAACCTGATCCTTCTCGAAAAGCGTACCAAGCAATAGGAGAAAGGGAAGACGAGTTTTAGGCTGGACCGCACCACACAATAATATTGAGCCTTAATTATATCATATCATTATCATATCGTATCGTATATATGATATGATATGAGCTAAATATTTATCTAGGACTCTCCAATTGGACCATTGGCAGAGGCCAGAGGCCCCACACCCACCATCACGGTTGATCAAAACGGCATCGTATTCCACCGCCAGCCAGGAAAGGAAAGGAATGTATCTGTCATTTTATAAGGGTCTGGTGAGATTTCTGACACCTGTCATGTGATTGTGGGGGCTTTAGCCTTCTTAAAAGACAGTGAATTTTATGGCAAAGTTAGACCACTACAGTTGACAGTTCCACTCAATGTTGTTTTCTCTTTTTTATTTTAAAATTTTATATTATAACAAAATTAAAAAAATTAAAAAAGATTCATGCACCACCAAAAGCACTTATTGTACTAGCGCTTCTTCAAACAGTCGGTAGATCTGAACACTTGTAGATTTTGGTGTATAGAACCTGTGAAATGGTGAGAATCGATGAAATTAAAACGACCCACTTCTGCATTTGATTAGATTTGGTCATTGGCCAATTTCTAATATGAGTGCTAGCTTTGGCCCACTTCTTAATTTAAGGGTCCAGCGGAAAATGATAGGCAGCATGCTCCAATGTGATGCTCTTCCAAATCCAGGTAGTAATAATCATACATAAACTTTTGAACTTTTTTTTTTATCTCTACCAAAAGAAGAGATTGTTTCCCAATAAAGAAATGAACCAAAATTCAAGGCAAGAAAAGGAAAAAGATCAACAGCTTTGTGATTTTAAAAGATTGACCACAAAATTACAATTGTAATATATACAATGTTAGTATTTTATATCACCTATGTTTTGTGAAAGGAATTGAGGGTAGCACTTGGATTGCTGCCAGGTATGGTTTAGTTAACCAGAGCTCTTTTGTTTGATTGTAATTCAAGTTTTCTCTCATTTTCGGGTTTAGGATTTGTATTACAATCACATGAGGAGACAGATAGAGACAATGAATATGAACTTAGTATAGCTAAAAATTTAGGGTAATAATAACGACACTCTAATTTTAACTTCATTTTGTAAGTGCTTAAGGATTATAAAAATATTCAATTTCGCAAGTCCAAGAAACTAAAATTGGAGTGTATATACAGTGCTCCCATAGGACTGGTGGTCTGTTCCGGATATCACTATTTTATTGAATTGTTTTCTTTCTTCTTCTTTCCAAACCTTTGTGTGCGCATTTCTCTCCTTCACTGCACCTTCTGATAAAACCCCACTCTTTCATCTTCTTCCCCATCCCTCTGCACCTCCATCAACACTGCTTTCCGTCAGCCTTCAAGCCTATTTCTTCTCTCAAAACTCTTATTAAACTTCTCTGTTTCTCGGATTCTTCTACTTCAAAATATATTATAATAAGCTACATATATACAAGCTTAAGCTTAGCTATATATATAGAGCAAGCATATATATAGCAATATGGATATTGTCCAGTTAAAATCAGAGGAGCAGATGGAGATGATGATGATGATGCAAATGGAAAAAATCTCAGAGCTCTGCGGAGCCTACAACGACGTTGTCTCAGACCTTCCCCCATCTGATCACACTTTCTCCTCCACCACCACCACAACAACAAGTCCCAATAGCATCACTTCTAACACCTCCATGCCCCATTACACCGACCAACAAAACCCACAAAACATCCCCTCACCAAATTCCCAGTCCTTTCTAAACCTCCCAACAATCCCAACAATACCATCAACCATCTCATTCTCCAACACCACAAACCCAACTGACCAAACATCCAATTTCTCAAATGGGTTCCTACCATCTTCCCAAAAACGCACCTCCATGGCAGCCATGAGAGAAATGATATTCAGAATTGCAGCCATGCAGCCAATCCACATCGACCCAGAATCCGTGAAGCCACCAAAGAGAAGAAACGTCAAGATTTCTAAGGACCCTCAAAGCGTGGCGGCTCGCCACAGGAGGGAGAGGATCAGCGAGAGGATCAGAATTCTGCAGAGACTTGTGCCGGGCGGGACAAAAATGGACACGGCCTCCATGTTAGACGAGGCTATTCACTATGTCAAGTTCTTGAAGTCTCAGGTTCAAACGCTGGAGAGAGCTGCGGCTAATAGGCCTACTGGGATTGGGTTCCCTGTGGCCATGTCTAGCGGGAGCTATGGCCTCCATTCAGTGGCTAAAGCTTACCAGGCTTCTTGCCATGAGAACGTGCAGCATTTTGGAGATGCTTGAATTTGATTTAAATTAAATTAGTGTAGTGACTGTTGATTAATTGTTCGATTACGGGGTTGTAAATTAGGAGCATGCATGGCTAATATGATCTTAATTTTAAGCTTAATTAATGTAATCCCATGTTTCTATTGCTATTAATTAAATAATCACATCCCTTGAAGATTTTTTTTATAAAACTTTTTTAAATATGTACTTGGCATATGGTCCTTCGGGAACATAGGAAAACGTACTATAATGTAATCTGAGTGCGTTGACAGGCTTAGGAAACTATGTATCTTTTGTGTGCCTGGCCAGGAAAAAAATATATCTCAGCTCAGCTGGGTCATCATAATAATAACAAGGGAAATAATGTTGATGGAGCTGCGTGTGCAATAAAATGGTTGGGTGGGGACAAAATATTGTTGGCACGTGAAAGTTCAATGCCTTTGCATTTTCGTGGTGACACCTGTTCATACATATATTTCTAGCAAAATAAAACTATTTGTATCATCTTAATATATCATATCTTTTATTATATTCATATGCGAATATCTCCCATCAAAGTTATGGAAAGGCATCAAGACTAATATTAATACAGCCTCGTTTGTCGGGAGGATTAGACTAAATTATATTAGACTAGTAAAGTGGTTACATTTTATGTGCAATTAAGATATAATATGGATATTGTTGTTTAATTTGGAGGATGAAGAATGATTATTCGTAACATGTTGATGACTAATACTTATCCCTCATAATCCCACCATTTTCAAGCCCTATGTGACATGCAGTGGCGGATCCATCATGGGGTCAGACGATCTCATGGCAGCAATGGAAATGACTTGGAGGTCCTTGGTTTCTCTTGGCAGCCATGGGTCATAATCCCACCATTTTCAAGCCCTATGTGACATGCAGTGGCGGATCCATCATGGGGTCAGACGATCTCATGGCAGCAATGGAAATGACTTGGAGGTCCTTGGTTTCTCTTGGCAGCCATGGGAGACGACGCCATAGAGAAGAAGATGCAAGCTGCTAGGGAGAAGAAATAGGGAGGAAGATTAAGACAGTGGTTGAGAGGGAGAAGAAAAGAGACAGAGGGGGCGGAAGAAGAAGAAGACAGAGGGAGAAGAAAGAAGCGCCGACACAAATTTTAATAAAAAGGTAGATATTTGTTAGGGTTTTTAAAATATTTTTTTTAATTCAGTTGGGTATACCTATAAATACTAAAAGTATACATCAATACTTTAAAGATATCACTTATTGTAGTGGTTTGTGAATTGAAAAGGACTTTAAGGTCAACGGTTCAACGCCCATTGTGATCCTTTTTGTTGTTGTAATATTCAAGGTATTTTGTTATTTGGGTTATTTTTGGGTGAGTTTATTTATTATTTGGGTTGGTATTAGTATTTTGATGAAATTTATGATTTACATAATACATATATGAGCTTGATTTATTGAATGATGTTTTTATTAATTGGAATAGGTTTGGTGTGTTTTTTGTTTTTACTTTGTTTCATCTTAAAAAGAAAATCGGAACTTTAACACTATGAATCCATAGAGTAACAATCCTGGATTCACCACTAGTTACATGAATGCAGATTAATGGTCTTATGTTTGAATATCCATAACACCATAATAATGTGTTTGAAACCTCACTACCCTTGCAATTTAGATTATTACTTGTGCTTTAAAAAAACTTCCTAAACCCTAATCATTGAAAATATTCAACAACATAACAGTACGTGATTGAATTAGAATGCGGTTTAGGTAAGATTTATCCCCAAGTCGTGATGATAGAGATTGCATGAGAAGTCCACGTGAAGGTCTCTGACATAACGGTGGTAGGTAGCTTTTACGATTAGGCAAAGTGATAATGTTGTTTTCGCTATCGCCACCTCACCACCTCCCCCACCCTTCTCTCTCCTTGCTAACACGTGAACTCTATCCCACCTGGCACTACACCGTGGATCTTACTGCCAACAGTGCATTCTTTTCTTTTCTTTTTTACTTTTTTTTTTCCTTCTCCTTGAAGCTTTCACTTGACCCTGAAATTGTAAAAGCTGCCCACCACCGTCATGTCAGAGACCTTCACGTGGACTTCTCATGCATTCTCTATAATCACTCGTGAAATTGCACCATTACGATGAAAAATTATTGTTTTGCTGCTTGCATTTGGACATACAGAACACCTGGGGCCTCCAAGGGTTGTGAACAGTATTCTGGGAACTTCTACACCTTTCTATTATAGAGTTCTTATCTCTCTGTTTTTTTTTGTTTTTGGAATGAGACATGCCGTAAGGACAGGTTTGTCTCTTAATTTCTTGAAAGAATTCAACCCAAAATAATAATATATACAATGTTTAAAGATGGCAATGACAGCGAAGTTGAGAGGTGGTGGAAAAAACCAGAGGCATGGAATGGAATGTCGATGGCTTTGTTTATTGTTGCATATTCGAAGGGTAGGTTTGCTTCCCAAATGAGGATCTAATGAGAGAAGTGCTAATGTCTCAAGGATCAAAACCCATTTATTCCTTCCATCCCCAAACGAAATCTAATGCAAAATATCTAAGAGAGAGATACAAAACAAGAACAAGAGAAAGAAATAAGACTATAAGATAGACATGATACTGAATATAATAAATAAGAATGGTCAAACGAACAATCATCAGAAGACCCATGTGAGACATATGGCCAAGGTTCCCAACATATCCTCATCCTCAATGTCTTCTTCAATGGGTTAAGAGGTGTCCCCTTGTCCTCTGAATCCAGAGCACATACCCTTTCAAAACGCACAAGTTCTTTGCATCTCTTCACACCTACTTCGACGACTGTTGCTTCTATTTATAACCCCTTACAAGCAAAAACATGAATCTCGTTTCAACTCAGGATTGATTGGTTTCTTTTTGGGTTTGATGTGATGTGAAGTGAAGGGGTGGATTAATGGAGTGAGCTAGATAGATTAATGGAGTGAAGAGCGAAATTCCCCCTAGGGTAAGGCCAACCAAATGAGTAAAGGCTAATGGCTAGAAGACGAAAATTGGGATTAATAAGACATGTTGGTTGGTCGGATTAGATTTTGTAGGGGCCCATCTAGGACTGTGACGGATGGTGTCACAATCCCAATCCCGTGGCCCAATATTCTCCCGTCTGTCCTTTTTGACGGGTGCGATGTATTTTCCAAACACAAAATACCACATCGAATTTGAGCAACTTCTCTATCAAATTTTGTCCAAATTCTGCTTCTAGAAGCATGGATAGTCCCCCCACATCACTCCACCCCTCATTTATTATTGGCATTTGCTAAACCGACATCAATTGGAAGGTCAAAGAAGGGTCAAAAGAGTGTCACATGTAAATGTTTGTGGTCGCAATTTCAAATTAGAATGATTTAGCAATGAGTCATACTATAGTGAGGAGGGCATTATATATGACCTTAGGTGAGATTTTATCTCTCAATCGTTGGATTAAGCTAACCAATTTGATCCAACGGCTAACCAATTTAATTCAACAATTAAGAGATAGGGTTAGAACCTCACTTAAAAGTCATATATAAGGCTCTCGTTATAGAATTCTTGTATGGTACGGTGCTGGGTGTACTAATTAGATTCTTGGGTACATTTAGAATCTATTTTTATGTATTGTGAAAAAAAAAAAAAAACAAACTTATTTGAATAAGAACACCTGTAAGGAGATACTAGTCCTTCATTTGAATAAGAACTCAACAATTCATAAGTAAAAGTTACCACTTAACAGTTCTCTTACTGATACAAGGCTAATATGAATCAGAACTTAAAAGGATAGATATGCAATCTCATCTCTTAACTAACCTTTCACAGAATAATTTGTTTAGTCAACCAAAAAGGAGGAAAAAGGAAAAGAGAGACAAAAACTTAAGAATATGGAAACTGATCACAAAGACAAAACAAGAACAAACGGTGCATCTTGTAACCATTTACGGATTGGAAGCTATCGGGTACCTATTTTCAGGCAGCATTTCCATTTGGGATTCCTATGTGATCACCATCCAAAAGCTCATTTACACAGAACTGATGCAAGTTGTCGTACATTTTCTTCCACTGCTGAACCGTTTGTATTGATCTTTCGTAATCATGCTTTAGTCTCTCAATCTCCATTTCGGCTGAGGCAGAACCTTGTTGCTGAAAATGAAGGCAAAAAGAAAAGGTTAAAGTTAAGGTTTGACATCCATGAAGATATGTCATTCAATTCCAGTGGTTGAATGATTAAGAAACATTGCTAGAAATATGGTGCGTGTACCCACGCATATGCACCCCCACACTCTAGAAATGCCTATAAAAAGTGTATTAAGAATATTTATGAAGCCATAAAATACCTGAAGCTCTTTGATTTGGCCATTCATCACATCAGACCTTAGGTACAACGCTTCTGTAGAATTACTGCATGTAGCCTGGCGACCAATGACAGCCTTAAGGTCTGTTGGGTCTTCAACTATAGGATACTTTTCCAGTGGAGGTGGCAATGATGAACCATGCCTTCTGGAGGAAGATTGCGAATTCATCTGAGAATGTTGCTGTCTAATGACTAGAATATTGTTCACTGGACCTGCATTATACAGTGAAAATTTCATGCAAATATACTAACAAATAAAGGAAAACTGGCAGATTGAACATAAACAACTAAGAAAGTCGAATTTCAAATGTACTAGGAGAGAATATTCAAGCTTTAAAAAATTAAAAGACTACATATTCGCTATGGGTTAAAAACAAAGATGGTGTGAGATGCCATAGTTCATTAGGCAACTCAAAATTGTTAGGACATGGCATAAATACAGACAACAGTGACATTTAAAAGTCATAACAAAACGTCTAAAATGAAACATATTAAAGCCAATGCAAGCTTTACAAAAAAAAAAAACTAATGCAAGCAAGAAAGCAATAATTAGCATAGCATTGAGATTACCTTTGGCATGTTTGAACACACGGACAATGTTATGAGATTTAGCATCCCAAACTCGAACCATGCCATCCTCTGATCCAGAAATCAAACAATTTCCAGAAATACTGTACACTAAGCAAGTTACAGCATTGCTGTTGAAAAATTAAAATATAAAGTTGTGAGAT